CCTGCACCCTGCATCCTCCTTCATCCTCCAGCAGTGACTGAGCCCCACTGTGTGTGATGTGGCCATACACAAACCCTGCCTCTGTTTCCATTTCAAAAGGCCCAACCGCCAACATGGGTTATATTTTTAGGAATATGTCCTGTGAAATATTTAACAGGAGCAGGTCATCAGGGTCACTTGGTTGGCTTTAGTGTGGACGGTAGAATATATAACCCTCTGAGGTCCAAGTCATCATCTGTGACGATCCCAATCCTAACTCCAAACCCTTACCCCAACCTGTGTGTTAAAGAAAAGCAATAATATATATATATTTTTTTAAATGTAAGAAGATTTTGCTCCCTGTCAGTTAGAATGACTCCTCTCTTTGTCTTCTGATCGGTAAGAACAATTTTTTAAAGAAGTCTACCGCATTTTGAGAGCAGAAAATATTACTCATTCACATGTTGACCTCTGACCTCATCTGGTTTTGCAGTGATTTACCTTCTTACCTTCTTTCACTGCTTAATCACTTCATTTTTTTTAACCAAAAGTCTACGACCCAAATATATTTAAGTTGTAATTACATAAAACGGTCCAAAGCAGCAAATATTTACTTCTGAGTAGCTGAAAGCAGGTAAACCTCTTTTAACGATTTTATTGAACAATATATGTAGTGAAATACAATGCAACATTTACCTAAGTATAAAAGTCATGAAAAATAAAAACTGATTTTTTTAAAGGAGTAAATTTCAGGATTACAATATAGAAAAATACGATTTTTTGTGACAGTGCCTTTGTGTGTCTCTTACCTCTTCTGGCTCAATGAGTTTAAACTCCATGCCACGGCCGGTCCAGGCAATGAAGTGGGAGTTGGACGGGTCGTCCAGTAAAGCCACCAGGAACTGCCAGAGCTGCAGCGAGCCTCTGCGCTGGTACGACGGGCCCTCACGGTACAAGCCCGACTCCTGTTTGATGTCGCCTACAGAAAACGGGTCAAAACGGTTATTGTATGATGGGCAGAATGCGTTGGTACGTGGGATACTTTTCATTTTAAGAGTCACTGCAGGACTCACCTTCCACCTTTTCAGGCACCACGCAGGTATCGTCGTAGAAGTGCCTCGCCACTTTGTCAAACATACAACCTGGAAAACAAGATCGGGAAAAAAACATGAAGCAAAAACCCATACGTGCACCACCACAACATCCACACGTATCATCGTTGGTACCTTCAGTCCTGTTAGTGTGAGCCAGATAGCCGTCTTGCCGTAAGTAGACAGAATGGCAGCTAGGCACTTCTGCTGAAACCCAGGCAAGAATGAGAGTGGGTGTTAAAGGGCCCGAAGGCAGCATTAAGAACACTATCTCAGTTATCTGAGAGCAGTCAAAGCCTGTTCACTCAATGCACCACTGGCTCTGATTAAAGAAAATGCCCTTCAGCATCAGCGCTGCGATGGCTTCCAGCCACGGGCGAGCTCACTATATCACGCTGCCGATACGCGCCCCGAGCATCTCCACTCAGAGGAAGATTTACAACTGAATAAAACACAGCGCTCGTGTGAAAACACGAGCTGACGCCATGTAAGTTTTTTCATAATACGAGGGCTCATGATGATTATTTTACGCACGCTCTGAGATCAAAACTAAACGGACCTGCAGGTGTTAGTTTCTTTGACGTTTTCGCTGTGCAGCTGCAGCATGTTTAGCTGAAACGCTTGACGTGTATCTTCTCAATCAGCTTCTTATTATGACTGACTGCATCCAGTGTGAGTTTACAGTTTTCTGCCAAAGCTGTTTGCTTTGTTTCACATGTTTTTCCATTTTTCTTCACGAGTTCTTCACTAGTTTGAAACGAACACATGCTTTTGTGAAACAGTCAAGATAGATATACTAACAATACATTCAAAACATGAACAAACACTTTTTGATGTTGTTTATGATGCTTTTCGCTGTTCATCAGACCACGCCCACATTAGCCTGAGGAGACAGATCAGCTCAGTTCTTCAGTGGTGATAAATACTCGCTGATTCTATACTTTATACATATTTAACATTGAGTCCTGATGTTTGAGCAACATTTCAGCTGATGTTAAAATAAACTGTGAAAAATGCAGACGGTCACTTTTCTGGGGACAATTTTTAGGTAAAAAGGAACAATTCACCCCCCCAACACACTTCCTCTGGTTCTGTGTTTTTCCAAGTTTAGATTGTTTTAATGGAAATTTGCCAGTTTTAAAGATATCAGCTCTAGAAATATCTGCCTTTTCCTAAATCGCACCCACCTTGTTGTTTTCAAAGCACCTCTTTTCCTCATAAGATCTACCAGCCAACTAAAATAGATTTTTGACTGAACTGCACCTTTAAAAGTTCTCACTCGTGGTTTATCAATATCATGGCTATAACAAGAGATCAAATAAAGACTTGTGGTTTGAATAATTCTTAAACCAAAAATGTAATTTCATATAGACATGAGCAGTTTTTTAAATCGTAGGTTTAAATGGTTAAGATAGAAATGCCCCACTACATAATTCTCTTCCTTCATTTACTGGTTGGCTTTACTACATTGTCCAATCGACTCTTCCATTTACTGTATATGTCCAAACCTCCCACATCACAGATGAGATGCTGCGATCAAAAAAACAGCCAAATGGGCTGCAAAGTGAATGTTCAATAAACAGACTGAAGCCTTTCATTTAGACCCATAAACATTTCTCTGAGCTTCATCAAAGTAATGGACTTGTAGAGGAAATTGCTGCTAATGAAATTACCAGATCCCCTCCCATCCTTTTCAACAGTCCAGCTCCAGTCAACATGCCCCACTGTGGCTGCTAATAAATTCACTCTGATGCTCCATCTTGGACATCTTGGTCGAAGTAGTGGACACAACACAAGGAAGACCTTTTGGTATTTTAACAGTTGAATATATTTCACCACTTTTGCTTTATGATTGCACGCAATTCTTTGTAGATAGTTTACTTGTATCAATAAAAATTCTTCTAATTGTTAAAGCCATTTCATTTATCTATGAAAAAACACCTTGCTTCACCTGGTGAAATGTAAGAATTGACTGTTATTGCTAAAGAGAAAATCAAGCTGCCAGTGTCATTTTGGGCTCTGTAATTTTTGCCTGTATTTGGCCAAATTTGCGAACAAAAAACCCCGAATAAAACAAGAGAATAATGGTTGATGCAAATAACATTGCTGCAAATAGGCCAGAAGAAACCCAAGAAACTGTTAAAGAACAGGGTTATTTTTGGACCGAATCTTGTTTTTCTTTTCTTTTCTATTTTTTTTTCCTCTTTTTGATACATTTTTCAGTTGTGCTAATTGGCATTTAGAAGCCACATAGTTGTGAAACTCGGTAAACACATCTATTGCAAAGTAACGTTGCCACTGGAAAAGCGAGAAAACACCAAAAATCACAGCTGCCTGACTCCTCAATGACAAAAACTGCAGAGCTGCTGTTAGGAAAACCAGGTGTAACTTAAAGAGATGTGAATGAGGCACCAAATGTTTTGGTGTATGGAGGTTGCTTTTCCCCCCTGACTGGTCATACACACTCTCCTCCAGCTCTTCCTCTCCTGGGTCCACTCTGTCGCCTTCTGAATGAACCCGGCAGTCGGGCGAATGTTCATTCATGTCCTGAGGTAGCCTCAGGCTCCACAGAGGCTCCACAGAGCCGCTGGCTGATGATTAGGTCCCTTTACTCTCTAACCGAAGGGAGCGGACAAGCGTGGGAGGGCAGATTCTGGATTGTGACCAGGCTCAGCCCCCTCCTTTTTTCTATTAGAGCACCACAGGAAATGGCGAACAGCACAGACACCCAGCCCAACCAGATCCCCTGCCCTAATAATGGGCAAACTCAATAAAACCGCCCCCTCCCGCCATGTCTTCTCTCATTCCTGAAATGATAATGCTCTGGCAGCTATCACTTCTCTGCTCTTTCACTTACCAGAGGAGTTTGAAGGAGCACAAGCAACAGAAACCTTTTCAAATCGCTCACCTGAGTCATAGGTGAAGTCCCTCGGCTCCTGCTTGATCATCATGCCGGCTGGGTATGTGTGGGGAATAGGGGCCCCCATCATGGCCGGGTGTTCGAAGAGGGGGTCGGGGTACTCCTGTTTGAAGCCTTGAGGAGGGAAAGGGATGTTGGGCTCCGACATCTGCCTGTGGTAGATGGGCCGGCCGTCCCGAGCCATTGTCGGCGGGGAGGGAAACGAGTGGCAAGGCTCTGAGAGCTGACGTCGAAATCTGAGACAGACGACAAATTCAGTGGATTCATGACACTGACTCCTGATTGTGAAAGACTTGATGAGACCAAAAGGAGATAAATCAAGAACATGTACATTTTGTTTTACTAATCAATGAATCAATAATAGAGTATCAGTGAAAATTCTGAAATCCGTAATGATGTTTTCAAGTGCTTGCCTTTTTGTTTCCCCTATGTTTATGCCTACAGGTGACCAAAAAAAGCAAAAAATAAAGGAAAGGTTTGGAATATTTGTCTGAAAATTGAATTAAAGGATCTCAAACCAAAATCAAATATACATATTTATCCTATGACATTGGCTTGTGGTGCTCATGGGAGTAACTCAGAAGTAAAATGCCTCTTGTGTCCTGATTACTCTAAAAATCCACAAAACTTGTTTCGAAAAGTTTCATGTACAAAGTATTTTCTTTATACAGTGCACATCCGCCAACTGTGTTACTGTGCAGAGGGATGTTAATGTTAGCTAGCTCTATTCTCCTTTAATTATTTGAGAATCACAAGGAAAGTGTCATTTAAATCCATTATATTAATATTATAAGAGAAATCTGACATTTTTACTCCTAAACTGGAAAATTCACACCTAAAAAAAATCTTTTGCTTGAAATAATTAACTTAGTAGGTCTGTTTGTTGTTTTGTTTTTTCCATTCTGCTATTGATTTATTGGATGAGCTCTATTTCAAAGCACTAAAGTCAAGTGACAACCACATGGCATTCGATGGTTGGGAAAGTTGTCGTTTGCATGCCCCGCCCACTGAGGATTCACTCAATCAAAAGCAGAAACTCAGACGTGCATCTGCTGCTGTGACCTTATTGTTATCTATCCTTGGTACAACTGCCAGCTACGATCACCAGATGTAAATGTGATGTAAATGTAAGAGGCTGCAGGCTGCAGTACCTGTGGTCCATAGTGTAGGCGTTATCAGGGAGAGGCTGCGAGGGCGGTATGTGGGTGTAGGTCCTGTCTGGTTTGGGCGTTGGGGCCGCCGTGGGTGAGCCATGATGAAGTGGGGACACAGGGGTGCTACAGGGGGGTGTCACTGGGCTGGAGGGCTTCATTCCTGTGGGCTGCTTCTGCTCATAGGCACTGGGGTAATGGCAAGAGTCAAAGATGCCTGTGTTACTGCCAGTGTACGTTACACGATTTAAGCTCTTTTTAATTAAGGATTATTTAACTGATAGCTTCGTCTTAAGATGTCTGTATTTAGGGTAGTTTGGAACAAATGCCCTACCCACTCAACTATCCTTTCACTGTTTTCTAAACCAATTTGATTTACTGTATAAATTATGAAGCCTTGTGCAGGATTTGGATGTAAAGACTCTGAGCAGATGTCAAAAAGTGAAGAAATGCATCACAAACTACCTCAGGGCATTTATGTCAGACTGCAGTTAGAATCAATGGCATTTTAAGCCACTCCATAATCAGCGGTTCCAGAAACCCTCTGATTCAGTTCAGTTATAACAGACAATTAAAACTAACATGACTGCCATAATCTCACATAAATACCTCTGATTGGAAATATCTCGTTAATGTCTTCAGAGTCACCACCCAAAGCTGTGCGTATCTCGATGTCCTTTGATTTGCAGTTTGGAATGATTAGCAAGTCGTTTCCAGTTAAATAAAAAATTACAATGCAGAATGAAAAAGCCAAAAAAAAATGTCAAATGTATAGAAAGCATAAAGATTCTTCACCAAGAGTAAACTGACGATAAGCTAAAGTGAGTATTTAGTCATCGCTGTCCTACAATAAACCTTCACACCTGCATTTATTCCTCTGTTAAAGTGAGGAATGTGGAACCAAATGTTATTTTCTGTGTTTTCTTTACAAATCTGAAAAAGGTATAATGTACAAAAGCATTTTAATAATTTGTAAAAGATGTTTTATGTGTCGTGGGGGGGGGG